CGCTTTTGTCGATACAATGGCGGAGATGCACGCTGTGCAACATATCCTGCTACCAACAAGGCAGCTTCCGGGGCAACCTGAAAGCTGTCTTGATCTCCTTTTCACGAACGATGAGCAACATGTCGAATCCGCTAAAGTATTTGAACCCATTGGGTCCAGCGATCACTCTACGATTTCAGCCGTCCTACGTTTGCCATCTGTTGTATCATTACGAATACCCCGTCGTAACATTTGGAAAGCAAACTGGGATCGGTTGATGAGTACTGCGGAACACATGGACTGGTCATTACCTTTGAATGACGGTGTTGAAGTGTGTTGGGAGGTGCTGAAGCAAAACCTTGTTCAGTTACTAGACCAATTTGCTCCTTTAACCAATAAAATGTTGGAAGAGGCCGCTATGGATCGATAGCGAATATGTTGTCATGTCGAGGCGACGTGCAAAATTATGGAAGAGGTTCAAACAAACTCAGCGCCGAAGATTACACAGCTTACAAAACGCAAAGAAATTTTTGCAATTCAGTGAAACTATAGAAGCGTGCGGCTTATGAAACACGCTTATCAGCAAATGCGAAGGAGGCACCCAAAAAGGTTTTTGCATACATCAAGCGCAAGCTTAAGCCAACTGACGAGTTACCTGCTTTGGAAAATTCGCTTGGTGCACTGTCGACCGCCGACAAGGACCGAGCTATCGCACTTGCTTCACATTTCGAGTCAGTGTTCGACTCAGCTTCTCCAGCATTTCAGTGTACCCAAGTCGACGCCAAACTGGATACAGTATCCTGTTCAGAGGACCAGGTAAGGGGATTGCTTGCTAATCTAGACTGCTCCAAACCGCCAGGACCTGACGGCTTGCATCCACTACTTCTCAAAAGGCTGGCACCTGTCATCGCACCTGCAGTGACGGAATTGTTCGAGTCCTCTTTGACACATGGGAACGTCCCACGTTAATGGAAGCAAGCGATCGTACGGCCCTTCCCGAAAGGAGGAAACAGAAGCAGAGTAGAGAACTGTAGACCGATTTGCCTGAAACCAGTGCTGGCCAAATTGCTGGAGAAAGTGGTCAAGAAGGCGCTGCTTGAGTTCACAGAATCACACGGTGTGCTTACATCAGTTCAACATGGTTTCCTAAGAGGACGGTCTTGTACCACGAATCTTCTGACTTCCCGACACAGTTGGATTGAAGCAGTTAATGACGGTAGGAGCGTTGACGCCTTGCTGATTGATTTGAGCAAAGCATTTGATAGAGTGAATCACTTTATCTTGCTATCTAAACTCAACAGTTATGGCGTGGTTAAAAAATTGCTGAAATGGATTCGGTCTTTTCTGGACAAGCGGCAGTGGTGCGTCCAGGTCAATGACTACCGAACGAAGTGGTGTACTACCTCTAGTGGTGTGCCACAGGGCACAGTACTTGGCCCAACGCTTTTTCTGTTTCATATCAATGACTTACCAGGACGTTTGACATCTACTTGCGCGCTGTTCGCAGATGATTTGAAAGTTTGGAGGGAAATATCGACCCCCGTCGATGAGGATATACTGCAAAGTGATCTCGATACAATCTCCTCATGGGCATCAACAAACTGCCTTCCACTGAATGCTGAAACGTCCGAATTGCTCCGCATTGGCAAGTGCTGTCGGGACAGAACTTACAGTGTCGGCGGACGTCTACTGTGCTCGGCTGCGACGGTTAGAGATCTAGGAGTACTATCCCGATGGGACCTTAAATCGTCAGACAATACGCACATAGTCTACTGTTCCAGCCTTCGCATATTTTGGTCATTAAAGCGGACCTTCTACGTTTGGTCGGAGGAAATTGCTGTCAGGCTATACGTCTCCATGGTGCGCCCGCTTTTAGAATACGGGGCACCAGCCTATTATCCAAGTACAAATAATGAGATGAGAAAACTGGAAAAAGTCCAGCACCTAGTCACCCGCCTGATCTCCACGCTCCGAGGCTTATCTTACCACCAGAGGTGCCACAAGTTACGTCTCCATACACTAGTATACAGGAGATTACGATTTGTCCTCATTACAACGTTTAGAATCATTCACCTGAGACATTTTCCTCACTTAAAACATGTATTAATCCAAATCTGTAAAGGCCGTATGTGACGGGCCCCGAGCAGACCCCAGTAAATCTACAATCACACTCCCGAACTGGATCTGCTGCCCACTGCCTTGCGGGTCAGGCTTTTGAGTCAAAGACTCCGGGTGGTGTCCCCCAAGCAAACCTTTAAATCCACTACTGTCTTGTGGATCAGGATGTTGAGTCAGAGGCTAGAGGTAGAGCACTTCGAACAAAACCCCTCGGAACGGGCCGTCGGAGAGTGTCATCTGCCCTTTCGACCACAATTCTTTCTCGTCCTCTTATTTTCTCTCCCATACCAATTCTCTTCTTCCCCGTCTATTGAGCAATGCTCTGCCACTGACATCGCTGCTTCTGCTATCGACACTCGTAACTCGTCTATCAAACCACGAGTCTCATTTCACATCGGTTCTTTTAAGGTCCGAACTCTGGGTCAGATCAGCCAACAAGCATCATTGTCTCTCACTTTTCACTCTCTTGGTATTGGTGTGTGCTGTCTCCGAAATACGCATACGGGATAACGGCGTTGTGACGAATCTTCGACTCCCTGGTTCTGAATCTGACGACAATGAGCTTATAACCTGTTGTCTCCAATGGCTAGGTTTTACGGGAAGAAGGCCATCGACCACTTCCTAACTTCCGAAGAGAATGGACTAGGATACTGGCAGCGCGCCCACACCTGACAGGAGAACGACTCGGGTCCTCAGCCAAAGCCTTCGATTAGATGTACACGCGAAAGGCAGCGGGTCTAGCACATGGTCAGTTCACTGACTCATGAAGATTGATGTCCTGGATATTAACAGGGAGAATGGCGAAACCCAACTCCCACCCAGCGATCTCCACGAGGAGGCGTCCAGGACATGAGCCAATGGCGCAGCAGCAGGAGCAGTGGGTAAATCATCTGTCAACATCTAGCCACCACCAGGCTCAGCGCACCATAGATGCCCCCTCCATATATATATATATATATATATATATATATATATATATATATATATATATATATATATATATATATATATATATATATATATATATATATATATATATATATATATATATATATACCCAACTGTACGCCGTAACGGCGCTTCGCTGCCACGCTACCACCTGTGGTGCCGGGGTCAAGATTGATGCAGATCGCTGATGGTCGGGGTTGTATACAGAGCTCCATTGGGTTCCGTAGCTCGGCTGCTGGATTCCATTAAAATGCATGGTGGGAGAAAGGACTATTGGGAGACTTCAATACCCCAGATGTCGAACTGGGAATTGCTGTTTTTATGCTGCTTCTTCAGACCTTTTCTCTGCAGACTTTTTGGAAACCGTTCTCGAGTGTCACCTATTTCAACATGTTACTGTGCTTACCCGTAGGTTTGTTGGACAGACGCCCCCATGTTCTCTATCTTGTGCTTTCCCCGGCGCAAACAGATGTCGCAGACATTACCACTCTTCCGCCTATTGCTAATAGTGCTCACTGTATGATTCCATTCTTCTGGACTCGACGACTCACTCTTCACAATAAAGATAGTTTCCGCAGCAATTTCTGGCGTGCCGATCCAATCCGCCTGCAAGCGCCCGCTAGCGATGTGGACTGGAATATCTTCTACTCTCGGACTCAGATGAGGAGTGGAACCTTTTGTACTCCAAGATGATTTCGCTTGATGAGCACGTTGTTCCAATTTGCAAAAGGAGAATATTTGCGAGGGGCCCTACATGGATAGACAGAGAATTGAGGTGCCTAATGTCCAAAAGACTTAAATTATGGGACCGATTCAAGCTCACTCACTGCGCGCTTAACTATTCAGAGTACAAATTGATCAGAAATGACCGTATCTAGAAAAACGTCGGAAACTGCATCAGTATGAACACATTTTGGTTGTGCAATCCAGGACGACACCGAAGGCACTCTACTCTTACTTGAAAAGAAGTACCAAAGCTGGCAGTTTCATTCCTGCCCTGTTTTCCGCAGAGCAGGTCAGTTTACTTGACGACGATGCGATGAAAGCCAGTCCACTGGACCTGCAGTATTCATCTGTCTATTCGATAGAGACGCCGTTACCCGGTGACACTGCGCCAATCCACCCCTCTTCGTTGCAGCACATAGAAATGAGTGTAGCTGACGTTGCCAAAGACCTTCGTGAATTAGATCCGAACTCCTCGCCGGGTCCTGATGGGCTGCAACCCCTGTTCCTCAAGACGGTGGCCGACTACATTGCCGCTGCCGTCTGTCAGATATTTCATCACTCCCTGGAAGCTGGACGACTCCTGATTGCTTGGAAATTGGGGACCGTTAAACCTATATACAAGGGTGGTGATCGTCAAGATCCTGCAAGCTATCGACCTATCTGTCTAACGTCCGTACTATGCAAATTAATGAATAGGATTCTCAAGCGCGACCTGCAGCTTCACTTCGAAAACGTAAATATCATCTCTTGTGCTCAGCATGGCTTTCGGCGGGTACACTCATGTACCTCGAACCTACTTTTTGCTAAGGAGAACTGGGTGAGGTCGTTAGATGCTGGGAAACGCCTGGATGTGATTTTTGTAGACCTCAGCAAGACGTTTGACAAGGTCTTTTATGAAAGGCTCCTCCTTAAACTCTGTGGTACCGGTGTCTCTGGGAATGTCCTTTCTTGGATCGCTGATTTTTTGGATGGCCGGACCATGCGAGTCAAGGTGAATGAAGCCTACTCCGCTCATGTGCTCATGACTAGCGGTGTTCCCCAAGGATCGGTACTTAGTCCTGAACTGTTCAAAATATTCATCAATGACTTCCCATCGGAGCTTCAGATGGATTGTCTGATTTACGCCGATGACATGAAGCTGTGGATGGAGGTATCCTGTCTCGAGGATGGTGACAGATTGCAGGCATCATTGGACATGCTACATGACCGGTCAGTCAACTGTCAATTGCCCATAAATCATGAAAAATGCTCAGTTCTCCCCATAGGCTCCCCTGAACCGTTCAGGATATACCATATTGGTGGGGTTTTACTCAAAACCACCATTCTTGTGAAAGATCTTGATGTGCTTGTCTCACATAATTTACGAACCACAGAAGACACACTACGGAGGGTTGTCGCTGCCAACAAGATGTCCCATGCCATACGGAAGGCCTTGTGGCGACTGACTGCGGAAATCTTCGGAATCCTGTTTACTTTCCATGTGCGCCCGATCCTTGAATACAGAATACCCGCCACCTGTCCTCTTACCAATTTCGAGTGTGACATGATTGAGTAGGTCCAGCGGCGTGCTTCGAAATCCATACTGGAGTTAAGGGACTTGCCTTATCCTCTCCGACTACAGCGGATGCACCTGTTCACCCTGGAATATCGTCGGAGTAGAGGTGATCTGATTATTACTAGGAGAATTATGAGGGGAAAATGTGGATGGAGCTACAAGCGTTCTTTCAAGTCAACACTAATAGTTCCACTCGGGAGCACAACTGTAAACTATTTAAACCCAGAGGACTCAGAGTTAGGTCAGGTCAGGTCAGGTCAGATGGACGATAGAGGCTTCCGCCTAACGAGCGTCCAGTTCTTGTGCCGATAAGTGAAGCGGCCCCCGGCACTTCGATGTTGGATTGTCTCTTCTTGCTTCTGCAATGGAATGAAGCAAGAACAAGAGCAATCTCTGCATTTTCATATGCCAGCATCAAAATACACTATATATACCAGTACAACTACAATAGCTCTGGAAAAAGGATGGACCAACAATTGTCTAAGCCCCTTTTGAAGGCTACTACGGTCTCAGACTCCACTGAATCAGAAGGAAGTTTATTCCAGTAGTTAACTACTCGGTTCGTAAAAAACTTTGCCGCTCCACTCTCGCTCTATCAACCCGCATTGTAAATGACTGGAACGGCTTGCCAAAACATGTTGTCGACGCGCAGACTGAGGAATCTTTCAAGCGATTTCCGGATTCTCACTTGATGAGTAAGCTGGGACCTTGCTTCTTGCAATGTAGCTGTTACGGCCACTTGTGGAATACCGTGTCGTAGCGACTCACGGCATCCACTCAATGATCGGGAAGTGAATGAGCTGACAAAGGACTTTTCTTCTGCTCTCTACAATCCAATGAACAGTCGCGCATGGACTGAGTGTACTACGTGGATGCCCACCTCTACGCAGAAACGAACCGGTGATGTGGTTGCAAACGAGTCGCGCAGACCACTCGGCCACCAGCCGATAGTAGATCTTGGCAGTCACTGATTGGCTATGGTGTTATGCGGTTTTCGTTTTAGATTCATCAAAATCTCAAATTGTCCTCTTAATTCTTTGTTAAATGATAAGCTGGAGAAAGAACGTTGATTTAGCTTTTTATTGTTCTGGTCCCAGTTGAAGTTGAACCTGAAGATGCCTTCCTCCTTTTGCTGCTGGAGTTACACTGTCAACATTACCACTGGCGCTTCTCGACCTACCCAATGCGCGCGTTTGCAACATTGAACCTATTGTCTCATTTTACCACTCGCGCGCACAACATGATGAACTACCGCTCCGCCTTGGAACTTTCAAACAAGAATGACAGTAACGAAGCTTTAACGCCTTTGATGTATGCGAATTAAAATGCACCGGTACACTCGCAACCCTTTCATCCGAGCTTCTATCTCACACAATATGGCAACCTGTTCCCCTACTTGGCGGTTTATCTGCCTTCTCATAGTTCCCCCGACCCGTTTACAAGTCGGTTCAGTTGTGGTGCAGTGTCTACACAGCGATGGGCTGTGCGGCAGATTCGGCCATGCATACCAATTGAGACTGCTGGATATCTAACTAAAGGTGGCTGTTTGAATTATGTTCGATGCTCAGTTATCTGCGGAGTAGTGGCTGATCGTGACGCTTCGAAAGGAGAACCGTTAGGCAGCTGTCTTGCCGACGACACCTTATCATTACACGATAGCCAGCTGTTTGTGACTGTTATTGGCAATTTTTAGGTGCATTAACACTGAATGTTTGTTCAAGACATTTAGTTTCTCTAATAGGCTCTCATTCTTCTCTTATTATTCTTCATTATCTGGAGCATTGTGGGTGTACGGCAGCCAAGCATTAGTTCCACTTACCGAATTACCCTCATTGTTCCTGTTACCTGATTTCGACTACGGTTTCCTGGCAACGTTTCCCTGATTGTTGTCAGGCATCACCTAAGGATAGTCATATGATCAACTTCGACCGGCCGAATCACGGCCTTAATGTTTTCATACGATTTTTATCCTACCCGCTGCAATATTATGTGAACGGACTGTCAGAATAGGACACGATACTTTCATATATGTCTCGATCTGCGCTTCGTTTTACAAAAAACCTACGGGATATCTATCTCTTTTCATCTGGCAGTATTTTTCTAGTACTTTTTATTGCAGTTATCATGTTATTCGCGGAGTACGTCGACACAAAGAGCGCGCTTACATTGACAGTGCAACTTTCGAAAGACTATGGGTATGTTCTTCATCCAGGCACTGTAATTGGGGTTCTAGTGACTGCGGTGTTACTATTAATCAGGATTCGGTAGCGTTACGCACCTCCCTTGGCGCATACCGTGTGGAATTTTCTGGACTCTCTATAGCTTGCGTTACTTGCCGCAATTTGGAAGCACTTTCCGAAGAAATCATGTGTTGTACCTTTGACGCAACAAAAAAGCAGAGCGCGCATGAGCCATGCAAAATTCTAAGCACAGTCGAACGGTTACTTGTCGATGGTGAGGCTTTACTTTGCAAATTCTGTCAGAATGACGTGGCGAAAATTAAGTCAGCCTTTTCGAATGCAAAACACTTATGCTTCATTTCAGACATGTCAAAAATTTCAAACTTCAACCACCAGCGTTTTCCCTCGAGGAAAACTGTTTCGCATCAGAGGAAAGCCAATTCTGCCATCCTGACAATTCCGAAGAACAAGAGACGCACTGCATTGACCTTCAACTTATTGAAGCATTTCCTGATCCTACTTCACTGAGTCGCTCCAATGGCCTGCATTCAGGGGTAGAAGTCCTTCTCAGTTCTGAACTGATAGAACTCGAAAGCTTTAAAGAGCAGTCTGGTAAATACCTCCACTGTTCTAGGTGCTTAATTGCACTGGGACGAAAACGTGAGTCATGAGAGCTCAGCCGTTTTTTCTGTGCTCTTTGCCTAAGATGCTGCTCGATAGCATTTCTACTTTTTGCCAATGAATGGCTTGTGTGTTTTTAACTTATCAGTTCTTCAGGAATCTGCTCGGCTAAAATGGTGTCGTTCCAGCTCTCTTTTTCTGTTTCTGCCGAGTGTTGCTTGCAGGATAGCGCGATGTTCATCGTATGTACCCCCGTTGTACACACATATGACTCATTGCTTTCAGGTCAGCATTTCTCATTACTTAGGATGGGACACAGCAATTAAGGTAACCGAATGTTTTACTGAATATTTTTAATTGTCGACGGACCCACCAGCTTTTATATGCTGAGATAACAGTGTATGAGATTAACTTATCGCGCGTGGTTTCTCCACTCCATGAGTCGGGACCTTATTATTACCGAAAGCATATGCGTAGGTCACAGACTAATTGCTTTTATCCGAGTCACAATGTGTCGATTAATCTGATTCAGGATTACATCAGTGTGCAGTGGGCTTAATCATGAGGTCATCTTGCATCCTGCCTCACACTAACCATCGTCTATTGCCATTCGATCTGATGTACAACATTTGCGGTGTTTTGACTGCTACTGGCATCATTATCTCTGGTAACTTAACATTGTAGCCAAAATGCCGACATTAGTCTGGAAACTGTCGGTCCGTTTGCAGACTGGTTCATGAAAGGATTGTGCCTTTCCCTCATTTAGGTTAGATTTGTTGGGACTGGCTTCCTCAGTTATCTTCAGCGAAGCAGTCGCTGTACTTCCAGTCTACCAAAAAGCCGGGGACGGTTTTCAATTTTGTCTGTTTAGCTACGCGTTCGGGCGAATCTACTGTGCGTTTGTCTCCGCTCGTTTGGACACTATATGTGACAGCTGTCAATGTCGTTGAACTTCTGGTCCGAGATCAGCAGGCTGCTCCTGTTTTGCTTGTTTGCAAACCACTGTGTCCGAAATACAGCGTTTTAAACATTGTCTCAGTGAGAAAGCCGACGTCTGAACCATGTTTATTTCGTGCCATCATTTCCGCTATTAGTCATTGCTCTACATTCGGCGAACAGTTTCATTTGAGCATACGATGCCGCGTACTCGCTGTTTACATGGTCCCTGATTTAGAATTCACTACATTTGTCTTACATACTCGTACGTGTGGATTAAGGTGTCTGCTTTACATTTCTGCTCCACTACTTCACGTGCGACTTGTTTTTGTCCTATCATTCATCGTTTACCTTAGCGTCAATCATACCACTCGAGTGCTCATTCGTAATAACAAACCGACTTTCCTGCAAAGATTGGGAACCTCCAGACTTCAGAATAAAATGTTTTGCGTTTCCGATTGCTGTCTGTGCCGACCATACTAACAAGAAATAAGGAGTGAACGGGAACCTAATGTCTAATCTAAATACAGGCACTGGTCATCTAGCTTGCAACAGTTTTGGTTACAAACTGCGAAGTACAGTGTGATGATGGTGAGACATCTGCGAGATGGCTTACTTTTGACTTTTGCTTGGCACCACAATGAGCCTCACAAAAATAGATGGTTTAACAACGCATCCTCTGTGGAGAAAAAGCAATAAACATGGCAGTGATGTCGTTCTCGTCCAGAATACAACTCAGATCGTGTGGATCACAACCTAAACGTTAAACTGAACCGTCAGCTCTCAGCTAGTGCTAATCGATGGTCGCAGTTATGACTACCCACCATATCGCTGAGGTTTGCACCGTTTTGCACTCGGCGCTTATATCAGAGACTTGTCATGTAGCCTCTATACATTCTCCGTCCAGTTTATTGCAGAAGTTACTTGTGAACACGAGCGACCACGTGGTCTGTGCGCACAGTCACTAAATGCGCTATACGGGACAGGAAATCCATTGGGAATTGGAAGAGAAAGACAGGGAGCAAACAGTCAAACATTCCGTTCAAAGGCGTTATCTTAATGGTTCCTTGTGTTCATGACCAGCGGCGGTGTCAGTATCTTGCCATTCTCCATTGAAATACAATCAGGGCCGATGTGCCAAATGTTGCATAAGGCTAATCATGTGGTAATTCACGGCATGTACCATGTCAGCCTCATCGTGTAAACGCTGAATAGTGTGATACCCTTTCGCTACCTTCTGCAAATATGGTGGCCTTGTATAATTCCAGCGTGATCGCAGTCCAGCTCGAAATGTGATTAATGCTGATGTGATGCATTTTCTCCGGGAAACATTACTTCAATCCATCTAAGTGCATAACGTATTTTATGCTTTATTCTCCGAAATTGTCGGGGATTTGAACTCTAGACATGTATGATTCCTTCCTAGACAGCATTTTTCTGATCATAGGCACGACGGATAGTTGCGTAGAAATTCTACGGCTTTTTAGATTTCGGGGCTGCAAATACGTCTAGCCCAGTAGCAGAGAGTTTTCACTAAGCCGCGTTTGTATGCGATCAGGGCGAAGCTTAAAAAGTGAAGGTACTGTTCACTCCAAATCGATTTACAGTGAACCGTGCGTTGCAACATACCTTCAGCCCGTCTCCTAATGAGCATTTGCAGCCCCGAAACGTTGCAAGCCGAAGAAGAATTTTTACGCAAGACCTTAATTTCGAATGGATATCCTGAGAACTTTATTCAAGTACACAGCAGACTTCACAGAATGAAAACAACGGTGCTGAAAGCTAAGAATAAACGATGTTTATTTGTTCTTGCCGTTCAAAGGAGGAACAAGTAGCAAATGATATCGGACGCAAGCTCCGGTCCGCCCTAACGCGCACCTATACGACAGGCCAGTTGCGACTCAGGCATACCACGCGACGACTTGTTCTTCATAACCGTCAGAACATCTCGTCGGGTAGTTCAGCCTCTCACGTAGTTTATCAGTTCACCTGCGGTTGCGGTGACATTTACATAGGCAGAACAAACCGTTAGTTGGCTCAGAGGGACAAGTGATTGCGCAACCGAATGGGATGGATCTGAGAATTAATTGGAGTCCGGCATCGTCTATTACCAAGGATCTCATGGCAACCCGTCATCATTTGAACCCTGAGACAGCGTTCACGGTGTTATTACGTAACAAAAACCCGCTAATGCTGCCAATTAGTGAGGCGTTGTTATTTAAGGCCCATCAACCTGTGCCATGTGCACAGAAACTCTTGACGCAATCAATTCGGTTGCCATGGTCTTGACTGTGACATTTTGATTGGTGTTGCTTATCTTTTCCATGTATATAATCGTTTGTGTTTCTGCTCGTATTGTGTTTGCCACTGAAGTTACCTGGTAGCTGGCTGCAGGACATCACACAATACCACCCATATCGACAGAAATCGCATAAACATTTTACTGTATCCTTTTTCCTTCACAACTTGTACCTGTCTGTTTGCATCGTGCTCTATTTGTTCTTTTACAGTCACAATCGGATCATCGGATCAGTATGTGCTATGGGCCAATTGTCTCGATGTACTCACAGAAGAGCTGGATGTGGACGGAGCGTTTTTGCGCCACATCGAGAAGCCACTGTATGTGTTCGTTCCATTTCTCTTATTCACTCTTTCGTCCCTTCCTTTCCCTGTTCCCCATCCCAATTGGTAAGCCAGTGACCGCGCGACTCGACCTTTCACTGTTTACTTTCGTCGACGACCGTAGAAATTCTACTTAGGCATGTCTTTGTTAGCATAATAGGAGGCTAGCTGCTGCACATCAAAGACTTGCCAATCAACCACACTCATCACTCGTCATTATTCTCTGATATACTTGAATATATGGAGCCTGGAGCTTATATATCCCGCCGACTGAAACAGTTTCGTAGGGAGGCGTTCGGTCTCTTGATGGCATGAAACAATGCTTCACGTCTGCTGTACGCAATACTTTCATTTTGCCTGCCTCCTTGTTTGTACTCCATAGATATTTCGTCAACCGACGCTCACTGTCACTCCACCGAAATGGGTGACTTCATTTTTGTCATTGTCTAAAACTTTGTGTCCCGCCTGATACGGATCGGTTGACGCACTTTGTAATCTATTCAATGATAATATTCTGCTTTTTCGCAATACCAATCCTCAATCAGATTCATTTCCATTGTGACCAGCGTTCCTGTGATATTCCACTGGAAGTCACTCGCAGCTTTACAATAGTGAACACATTTTTGCCGAGGGAGAATAAATGCTCACCACCCAGTAAGATCTTTGACTCGAATCTGCCGTACTTTATCTTCGTTATTTCGTATGAGATATATGGACGTGAGATACCACCACTGCGTCCCTGACCACCTGTTCTGTCTTCAGTCTGCGGACTTCCGTACGTTCACTACACATAACAATCACACAATAGGGCAGTGTGAACCTTACCCCGGATTATAGGTGAGCGAACGCATGCCTCAATGTTAGTCATGTGTGACGTAACACGATCGACTTAACAGAAAAATGTTACGAACGTGATTGTGGAGTTAGTACACTGGCCGTAAAAGCCAAGTGAATTGACGCATGTTTTCTCCGCCAAGCGATGCGCAAATTATGCCCAAGTTTTGGTTGCACGTCTTCAACCACGGAACGGCTTAACCGTCCGATGTCAGTCATAGTTCGTTTGGAGTGGAGCGATGCATGGACCCTGGAGAGTAAGAGGCTGTTGTGCCTACTATTTTTCCGGAACTGCCACGACAATTTGGCTGCGGAGGTGAATATATTGAGCGACAAATCATTCGATGTCTACGCCTTGACTGATAAAGCTTTTTATGTACCACAACGTGGGTGTTCACAAAGTATCTATGATCTATGTTCCACAAATGATAGACGACAATTTTAACGATCACACGGTTCTATCTTCGATTAGCGCGTTGTCCTAAGTATCACTTTTTCAGAGCACTTAAGTTGGAAACCGATTTTGTAACCATTAATATTACACCAGCTATTTAGTCGATGATCACGTTCCCGGGTACTTCAGGTCGACCGGGAGGATGTCGGCCCCCCCACCTGCTGCATCGTCTGCACACACGTGTGCACTTGACAGTCCGAGATGATTGGATCTCACTGTCACACGTTATTTGCGGTGGTCAATCCTTCTTCTTCCGTTAGTTGGACATGATCCGGATACCAACGTCCGGCGCATTCAGTCATCATGATTGGCGTCGCCACGACAATAATAATCATAAACATTAGCGATATTGTTAACCGGTGGGAAAATGAACGCTATCCTGTCTGCCGAAAGAGATGAAAGAGAAAGGTGCAGTGGCCAGTCTAAACTCAGCAATTAGAATCAAAGGACCGAATATAGGAGTACCATTGTCTTCGCGACTGCGTTTTGTCGGGGTCTCCATCCGATCTCTTGTACCCCATTCGGCAAAACTGACGTGTGCTAGCCTGATCAAGTTTTGCAAACGATTCTTCATAAGTAATTTCATCGACTTTTTATCTCGATGCTTCAGGCATGCAGGCACCCTATCCGCTGCATTCACGTGAAGAACACTACCCAGCCGGTTTGCACGATCTGAGTTCAGCTGGCCATCCAGTACTCTGTCGTACGCTCTAAACACCAATCGAAAGAAGGCAACAAACACGAACAAAAATCAGACATATTGAGAACCAGTAGGTAATTCGATGGTGGAGATGATAGGGGCACTCAGTTCTAATACCTTGACCATACATGGTTCCAGTGTTTGAAGTCGAGAGGATCGAGCAGAGGTTTCATGGACAGAGAGGAGCTCAGTCGCTCCAAGGAAACACGACAGTGGGCAAGAAAGTATCTTGATCATTGATCCTCTCGAGTAGTGTTACGGCGGGCAACACCTGAACACCAGTTAGAATACGGTCCCAATGGTTGTAATGACCGAAGCTTACGTCACTGTGGACCGTGGTCCCAAATGATCTTACGTGTCACAATCCAAACCCACGTTGGGTACTCCAAAAGCCAACAACGAACTTGTAACCGCTATGCAAACGTTGCTGGTGTAGCTCATTGGCATAGTGACGAAAGCGCCAGCCATAAACCACTACGTCAAGCGTTCCACTACTAGCTCAGGCTATCTCTCCCTGAGAAGTCCAGACAAAGACGGGATCGGTTGTGCAATGAATTGCCTAGGTTGGACGACGCCGAAACTCTACTCTGGACGCGGTTTCAGTTTTTGTAATAGTCGAGGCTTAATTTAGTATAACTCACGGCTGTAGCTCCGTCGCAACGAAAGTGGACCTCAACATGATGCGACAGTTTGTGTAACTGTTCGAATTATTAAGCTATGCTGTGTAACGCCCCCAGGCCTCTTGAGGGTAACCCATACCAGATAGGCCAATGATTAGAAGTCGAACGAGCTAACTCTTCTGGTCGTCCATGCTGTGGGTTGGAAATGACATGGCGTTTATATTTCTGTAAAACCGGCTTGCCCCATCTCCCGGTCGTCTTGCAGACAGGCTTCTGAGTCAAATACTTTGGTTGAGGACCCTAATCGTTCTCCTTTCTAGGTTTGAGCACCCTGGCAATATCTCAACCCACGTACAACCATTTCCTCAAACCTTAACCACATCCTACATCGGTCGTCACTCAGCTTTAAAAAGGTCGCCTTATCTGATGCATACAACGGCGAACAAACGGAAACCTGCCACCGTCTTCCTTTTTTCTTTTTCATCTGTTCCTCCTGTTACAGCCAAGCGAAATCAGAACAGCGGTATGTTACCGGGAAAACTTTAGTAGCAAGCGTAAAGCGGTACACTCTACTCAGCACATGTCAGCATGTAAAAACTGTCTTCCACGCTAGTCGCATGAGCGCGAGAACGAGTTTCAGTTCGAAGCGAATCAATGGCGGACACTGGTTGGTTGTCACACAAACACGTACGCACATAGGCACACATGCTCCTAAGCAGTAGGCTATCCGGCTGAATAGCATTGTATGGATTTCGAACGACCAATGACCGTATCATCCCTCCCTCCTTTGCTTCGGCCTGGAAACGTTCGACTGGTCGTCATTGACGATTAAAACGACGTAAGGGAGGCTTAGTTACTGATTGTGCATCAGTCACCTGCATATCGGTAGGTGATTGGAATGACAGATCTGGTTCAGCACTTGTTTCTCGGTTCGACATACTTGGCTACAAATGGTTCAAAAGGCACCGCACGATCGACAATCTTCAGTTTCTGATTCTACGGTCTGTCCGTGGGTTGCTTTTACAACGACCGGCTCCCACCCATAGTCTGTAGGTAAACGGACGTAAATTGGGTCTGACTATCACACTTCTGTTCCTGTTGCAACCATCAAAATGTTCCTTTGCCCGTGGTTGCCTTTCAGTAACTTGTGACTCAATGGTCCCATACAGTAAAACTAACCGTGTACGCAAACGTCGACCGAACATTAACTCTGTCGGGCTTCTACCGGTTGTCTCGTTTCGGTACGCCAACAGGGAACCATCCAAAGGAACACGCAGTAGAGAATTTGGTTGTTTTGTTAGCAAATTTTTCACTGTCTATGCCGCCCTCTCTGCCAACCCGTTGGAGGATGGGTGATAAGGTGCAGTAGTTATGTGTCTAACGCCGTTCGAGCGAAGAAAGTTAGGAAACTCGGCACTGGAAAACGCTGGCCCATTGTCACACACTAGTGTTTTGGGGAGACCGAACGTCGCGAACGTTGTGCGCAGTTTAGTAACGGAGCTAGTTGAAGTTGCTGAGGCTAGGATGTGGGTTTCAGTCCATTTAGAATAACGTCAACGATCAATAAAATCATCTGACCCTCGAAAGGACCGCAAACGTCTATGTGAACGCGTCTCCAGAGTGTTTCTGGACATTTCCAGGGCTGCATTGGCGCATGGGGAGTGGCGTTTCGGCTTTCCTGTCGGGGTCTGCAAGTTCCAACCTTCGTTGTAATGTAATCTTCCAATTCGGGCCACCACACATAAAGCGAGCTAGTGACTTCATTTTGGCAACTCCTGGGTGCGCATCATGTAGTTCATCCAGGATACGTGACCGAAATCTTTTGGGGACTATAACTCGTGCGCCCCATAGTAAACATCCGTTCTGGAGGCTGAGCTCAGACATCCTATTACGGAAAGGCATGAGTTCTTTGGATGTGTTATTTGGCCATCCGACTTGAGCGTAGCGTTTCACCAGCGATAAAACTGGATCTCTATCAGTCTTCTGACAGATGTCCGTTGACGTGACCGGGGAATCATTGAGATGCTGAACCAAGTTTACAAGCTCTTGTGTAAATTCCTCCAAAGGTATCTCTGGTTGAAGAACTCGACTAAGAACATCAGCTGTGGTATTTTGCCGGCCGGGAACGTACTGTATTTTATATCTATATGCAGATAGAATGAGGGATCAGCGAATCATTCTGGGCGAAGTCATTTGTTGAATCCCCTTCTCTTGGCCAAGGAGAGACAAGTGGTCTATGATCCGTATAGATCACGAAGGGTCAGCCAAGTAAATATTGGTGTAATCGAGTAGTACTGACGATCACAGCTGCCGCCCCTTGATCAAGCTGCGAGTAATTTCGCTCTGCTGCTGTCAGGGTTTTTGTGGTATAGGCAATGGGTCGCTGGTA